CCCCCCCCCCCCGTCGGGGACTTACCCTCCCCAATTCAGGCAAATCCTGGTACCACATCTGATGCAGTGTGGAGGTGAACCCTCTATACCCCTATATATGCAACTGGCACAATTTTAGTTATTTAAGACATTCAATTGCTCATTTTGAATGATCAAAGTTTACATCTACCAATGAGATATAGATCAAAACAGTTCAGTTTTTACCTATTTATATTTAATTTATAAGTAACTGCTTGCCAATTTTGAGATCTACTATGTGCTGAGAATATTAAGGAAACATATAATTTATGTATTAATTAATTGACAAGAAGAATATTTTTTTTTGTTATTTAATTGTTAATTAAATGCTAATGACTTTATATGAATTGAAAGATTATTTGCACAACACAGGTAGTTTATCTTTAAATATGGAGTAAAGATTAATAAAGTCAAACCAGTGAGTATAAATATTAGTATGTGATTTTTGCATATGACAGATGGTACTAATTTCTCTGTATAGGAAGGAACTAGTTGTCACTAATGAACTATGTGCAAAAGAAGACTTGCTTTTCTCCAAATTAATACTAACTAAACATCCAAAGAGCCCTGAGACTTGGGTTCACAGGTGAGGCATAGATATTGATAACACATCATACTATTTATACTGTATTATTGATGCTATGGTACTGTCTGATTACATAATAAAACCTTGATACCTCCACCAAGGAGGTTATGTATTCACCCCATCTGCCTGTCTGTCAGTGAGCAAGATTACTCAAAAACTAAGGAATGAATCATTATACAATTTAGTGGAATGGTACATATTAATCTAAGAAAGAGATGATTTAATTTGGGGGAAGATAAACTCAAATGTCAAGTTCACAGAATTTTTTTTCCTCGAGCATAAAAGAAAATAATGGAATCACCCATCATACACGACCTGTGTATTTAGTATTCAGGCACAGGGTGGAGGTATTAACTCTATGGAATGGCTGCTCTAGTTATTACTGTAATGCTATGCTCCTAATCTGTACACATTATATACATCACTATTCAATTCCTTTTGTATGTATAGTTATTTAATAAACGTTCACCTGATGTTTCACTTTCTTTTACAGACGATGGCTTCTTAAAAATCTCTATCTAGATACATCTCCAAAACATGTCGAGTCTGATGTAATCTTAGATGAGTTTACTGTATGTACCATGGCTGCAGATAAGTATCCTAGCAACTACAGTGCCTGGAGTCATCGGCTGTGGGTGCTGAATAGTCTAGTCAATGATAGAAAAGATGAGGTAAGGTACAATTGACCTTTCACATCTGGCAAGAAATTGATGTCTATGCGGTACTGAATAAAAAACTATTTTTTTAAATTTTACACAATCCACTCTCACTGACTCTCACTGTCAAAGCAAGTGTCACTGTATACAACAATGCTGTTGGCTTAAATCACTGATTTAATCCAGCAAGATCACACACTCATGCAGATGATATATGTCCTCACATAGTGGAGAATGACACCCCCCCTTTTCCCGATATTAGGAATTTAAATAAACACTAAGACAGTCATACACAGCATTCTAATCTAAAGAATTAGATTGTGTTGCTATTGTAATGAGTCGTGAAAAATATATTTGATCATTCATAAACACTTTTCTGCCGAATAACTGTAATGACTGTTGCAGGTGCGATATATTATTATGTTGGATATTATGTTAGCATTAGTTGATTATATACTCATAAATAAAATTCGCAAATACCGATGTACGGTAATTATACCAAAAGATTTTACTTTTCTATCATTTAGTGACCACATGTTCACCACGAGCCTTGTTGATGCGCGCCAGCGTAATCAACAAAAACCAAGACCAACTGAAGTACTGTAGTAATAAATAGGCCTAGATATGATCTTTATGATTCTTCTTGCACTCGTACAAACAGTTATCAACACAGCTTCTACACCAGCAGCCATTATGGCACGTAACACTAGTTAGCGGTATCGTACGAGTGAGATATGGGTCTGTAGGCATTTTTTTTGTTTAGTAATTTATTTTATGCAATTGCTTCTCAAAGCAAAATCAATTTCTATTTGTTTTCATGATGCAGATGACAATACTGTATATGGAACTGAATGAAATGATGTTCGGAAAGGCCACATTTCAGGCTTTAAATTTAATAGTCCTGTTCCATGGTAACCATTTAGTGAACTTTGGATGTTACAATATTTTTCTTTTTATTAGGTTCTTCAAAAGGAGTTGCTAAACAGCAAAACTTGGATAAACAGACACATTTCAGACCACAGTGGGCTGCATTACCGAGGAATCTTAATTCAGTTTCATATCCGGAAGAGGCACCCCAATTGGCTTGAGGTCCTCCTACAGGAGGCTTCCTTAGTTGAGGAACTGATTGATCACTACCCATGCCATGAGGCATTATGGTACTACAGGCAAGTACAATTAGCTTTGATGAAAAAGATCATGAAAATATGTTTTTGCTTTTTATCATGATTTAGAGGGAGTAAATGTGGCAAAGACAAGCCAAACCAGTCACTCCTCACAAAAAATACATGGTTAAACAGAAAAATCGAACTTGTAAAAAGGTGAAAGAATCATTTAAATCTGATGTTTCATTGTGATGTAACAGGGGTTTAAACATGCAGCTGTTTAAATAACAGTATTTGAGAAAACAGCTTTCAGAGTTTATGGTTTCAGGGGATTCTCAGACAGAGAACATTACCAAATTGTTAAAAATTTTCTAAAATTAACTACATGCCTCCCTCCAATTAAAGACCACATCTGGGACTTGAGATTCCATGGTCTTTAGCAGCTTTGGTCTCTAATTAGAATAATGAAGATAAAAGACTTTGGGACCACAGAATTGATCTTTAATTGGAGGTCTTGAACTAGAGGGAGAGACTGTATATGAATATATTATTGCTTGGTACTATATTCTTACATATTCACTCTATCTTTTATTTATTACTATAAATTATTTTCAATAATATATCCTAATATTAATGAATAATTATACTGTATTGTGAATGATAAAAGAATAGAAATGCGGGAGTGTGAAAAAAATCACCCCAATAAGGGATATAGTTAAAGCATTACACAGTCTACAATCAATTAATCAATCAACCAAATAAACATTTATTTCTTCCAAATCAATCAAACAATCAAACAGACATTTTAAATAAATACATATATAATTGGTAAAAATCTATCTAATTTTAAATGAATACATATATAATTGGTAAAAATCTATTAAATATATATACAAACATTATTGTTAAAGATAGTTCAGATGTCATCTCTACGTGAAATTTCTGAACCTTTTTTTTACTGTTTCCCTTACAGGAGACTCATTGTGTATCTGTTGTTCAAGAATGCAGGAAGTATGGATAATTCATTGCTAAAATCATGGGCAGTACAGAGCCGCCACAAAACAACAGTCATTGACCAGTTTGATAATGCAGACCAGAGTTGCAAAGACCAAAGCAGTTGTCAAGCTGATACTTTTGAAGAATTTTGTGGCTTACAAACAATAAATGATAGGAGCATGAACACAGTGCAGGAAAGCCAAATACAATCTTGGACGATTTTAACTAGAAATGAAAACCAATTCTTAAAACAATTTGAAAAAGACCAGATGAAAATGCATCCTTTCTGCTTAAAATACAAGAGGTGGCTGATGAATATAAACAAGCATATACTGTAAGAATGGCAATTTCATGTACAGAGTAGTTTTGTGTATTATTGTGCACTGTATTAGCTTGTTTTGTCTTCAACCTTAACTTTTGAACAAATAGTGTTTTTTTCTTCTTCATTACTATATTATTTGAAGAATTTCAGTGTGGTGCCAGTGTACCAATTTTTAAAGTACAAGTAATATTTGTTTAGTATTTTATATTTTTATTTCTTATATTTACAATAGGATAAAATCCAATGAAGAAATTTAAAAACAGAAGAGAAAACTAAATTACATTGTTATTAACAGTGGCCCTGGACATTAAATATAAAAAGGTATGACTAAAAATGATAAAAGCAACACACACAATAATGAATCAAATATATAAACAAACAATATTGTAATAATAAATTAAAAGTAATTTTGAGATGTTAATGTTCAGGAAAAAATGAGTTTAATGTACAATAACAATTTTAAAGATGTAACAAAAAGGATTTAAGAAAACATAAAAATTAATTTTCCTTTATAAGATTTTTGTAAACACAAAGTTTGGTCCTTTAGGTCAAGAATTGGTCAGTACACCAGGAGGCAATCTCTTTTCTGAGTACTGGGCATCGGCCTGAATTGCACAATGCCATATTGCAAATGTGGCCAGTGGCTTAAACTTTTCTTCAGAAAGACAGTGTGCGTATTTAAATATGCATTCTAAATGCTTTTTCATTATTAGAATGGCAAGCCCAGCAAAATGTTACATGTGATTAAATCTTACAAACATCTTGAACTTCAGGAGAACTATGTATTATTCTAGACTCGCTCATCAAATAATCTATCTGAAAAAAGAGAATGATGGAAAGGATCTTCAGTCATTTGGTTCTTGGGCAAGACTCCGATGCCATCATAGTAAATATCGGCCAGCACCTCGATGGGTGGTCCACAAAAAACGTGCCGGAGATCAACGTCATTAGAAGCGGAGAAAATACGTCTGGCACCGCGTAGAATACTCAATGCTGTCTGCAATTCCCCTTCCCAGATCTTTTCTCGAATTTCTGTGACGCAATCCATGAAGTGCTCATAGGATTCCGGGTCTATCCCTATGATAGCAATAAAATAATTAATGAATGAATTTCTCGTATAAATGTTTCTTTCTTGTGTGTGTTTTTTTTTCTATTTATATCTATTGTATATTTATATGTTTGTAAAAAATTTACAAGACATCCTGTTATTGATATTTGTTTGCTGTTAAATGTGGCTTTTGAAATAAATAAATAAATAAATAAATAAAGCCTGTCTAACACCTCCCATATCATGTAGCTGACATAGACCTATTCTGTGCAACACCTTCCAATACAAGGCGTATTAACTTGAATTAAATCTTATCTTCAAATTAAATCCTGTGTTCAAACTGATTATTACTGTGATGTAACCATGTAAACAATATTTTTAAAACATTTGTGAAAAACATTGCTGTGAATATAACTTTATAAACAACATTTTCAAAACATTTGAAAAGGTCTTACCCGCTGAAGCCATCGTATCCTGGGGAATCAAGGCATTAAAAATCATTTCCTGCAAGTCTGCCTTGGTGGCTGTCCATATTACACTCCTGATATCATTTGGAACAATCTGTGGTTCATAAGTATGCATCAGTTGGAAGATCTGCCATGGTGTTGGTGTTGATGCTTTATTTCGTGCTAATTCTGCATCTTCGTTATTTAAACTCTTTTTGGCTGACATCTTCTTTGCTATCAGGATTCCCCACCAGCTTGCTTCTCTTGCCTTCTTGTCCCGAGGGTTGGTAGTAAGCTGTCAGGTATATTTAAATAAATCAAGTGTGCAAACGTTTTAGGTTACTAACCTTTGTCAAAGTAAATAAAATATGAGAAGTGTAAATTATATAGCACATGGAAGGCTAAAAATGAAAACTGTATACACCAATGAGGTGAGCAGAACATAATACAATAGCCAATGAAAAGCTAGGAAATAAAACAAAGCCTAAGACAATGGCGGGATGAAAAATGCCTTCAACTAAATAACACGCTTTTTTTAGGGGAAGGGGAGTTTCTGTTGTAACTCATCTTACGTCCGCATTATTTATATATACTCCTATTTATATATATATATATCTACGTATACCTGATGAATGCGGGCGTAAGATGAATGACAATAGAAACATAGGATCGTAATAAAACACAAGATAAGGGAGCGTGGATATGAAAGCTTAAACAAACCCAAGGGCGTAGTTGTTAATAATAAACAAACCAATCGGAGTGAGTTGTACTGTAAGATATAGAACTATATAAATTATAAAAAAAACGTCATTCCCCATATTACATCTGTCTCTTATACACATCTAGATGTGTATAAGAGACAGTATTAAAGCTTATTAATATACAAAAATATATATACATACATACATATATATATAATATATACGGTATATAATATATATACAAAACAGAACAGCAAAACGAAAAACGACAAAAATCGTATAACCTCTCATTCAGAAGCTTCTGAAAAACAATTTTAGGTAATAAATAGTTTCGTTGTTAAGAGATCAATTAATCTCCATATTGGTTTTTATACTGTCACAGATATCGTGCTTTTGTGTTTCACCTCCCCATGGCAATATCCTCACAAATTAGGCAATATACTGACGATACTTTTGTTGTCAGAGAAATTAAAAGTGATCACGGTTCTCGTCTACACCAATATGATTTAAATTCTATCCCATTGGTACAATGAAATATGATGAAATAAAACTCTGTAAGTGCAAAGTCCTTCATATTACTCGCAAAAAAAAAAAACGTCATTCCCCATATTACATATACTATTGACTCAGATCCTCTGTCTTGCAAAACTTCCCACAAGTACCTCGGCATAGCTTTCTCTCATGATCTTTCGAATGTAGGATATTAACCACACCCAGGACGAAAACCACCCAAAATGGAATATATCATTGTTAATGTAGGGTGGGCAGTGGGCTGGACAATGTTCGGTGGGCCTGTTATCAGCTTCACATTAGGATAGATTACACTGTGACTTCCTATTATACGCCTTTAATTAACACTTTTGACAACATGCATGTATGTTAATAGGCTAATCATTGCAGATATCAGTAATCACTGTGCTTAAAGTATGTATTTTTAATGATTTTAACACACAATTAACTTCAGAGTTTCAAGTGTAAAATGTGTAGTAAAGTTTTAATACATTTAAAAAATTAAAAGCATTTGTCTAATATTTTAGTATTCTAAATTTATTTAAATTTCTAAAAGGACATATCCCTACTTCCTTTAAAAATTATTATTTTCAATTAGATAGTTCCCTGTAATAATAATAATTTAAATGTAAAAAGTTATCCATTAATTAATGTAGCTAAATAAGGTCTTACTATTTTATCTGTTTTCATTGGATTGTAGTAAAACCAGTATATTTCCTTGTGAATACTATGATATTAGGCAAATACCATACCAAGAGAGAAAGAAAGTGTTATTAATGTATTAAAACTTTACTAAAAAATTCATTTCAGCAAATGAAAACTACAAATGCCTTTAAATGGGCAATTATTTTATAGTGAATAGTTTTTCATCCAATTTCTTACTATTGTAGTAAAACATTTTTTATGATGTATAGTAGGCCCATATTATTACATACAGTTGTAATCTTCTTTAAATTCAAATTATTACTGTGCATGTCACTTTCCGAATCAAAACAGATAAAAAGATAAAATAGTAAGATCTAACTTACAT